GTCCTTGTGCTCTTGTGATTTAGCAATGGTTCCCAACATGGCACACTGTGTACGCATGTCTCCCGAATGAAGAGCACCTGACATATCCCAAATGTGCGGATCAGAAACCAAAACACTGATTAGAATCAAGAATAATCTAGAACTGTTTTCAGTCTCCTGAGAAGCTGGATCCCTCGTTCTGGGTTAATGGTTAAATTAAACTGTAGTCATCAAAAATATGACTAATTAATCATGAAACGTATACAATCTAACAACAATTCATAAAAAGTGTAACATAAATTAGACTGGAGTGTATACTTCTGTTCTTCTCTGGATCTGTGCGCTCAGCAGATCTCCTCGCCGCTCCATCTGTCTGAATGCTGTGTGTGTGTGTGTGTGTGTGTGTGTGTGTGTGTGTGAGTGCGTGTGTGCTGCTGATTCAGCTTGAGCTCCAGCTGATGTCCGGCTCCGGTGAGAACACACGCAAGTCAAGGCTGGGCCGCTGGGTTTGCATCATGGCAAAACACTCAAATCATGTAGCTATGAAGTGGGCTATATAAATGCAAATTGTATTGGAGATCTATTAGAAGTCTTGGAAAGAGAGTCGTATGTAAATGTCCCATAAGAGCAAAGCGGAGGAGAATGCCGGCGCCTCGCGGTAAATCACGCCGAAACAAGGTGAGAACTCTGGAAATTGAATAGTGAGGATGTGCGTTGTGATCTATTGTAAATGCAAGAAAGATGCACAGGTGCAAAACAGCAGAACTACAGGCAAAAACGAGTCTAGCGCGGAGAGCGTTCTGTGGCACAGAGGTCTGGGATACGGAGAACTCTTCTCACTGATCACTATTACTGTTACACGAGGAAAACACGACTGAACTTTGCTGTAATAGATCTATCATTGTAACTCGTATGTGTATGAGAAAGGGCAGCACAATAACAGTGATCGCTGAGAAAGGCCTCCATCTAGTGCTCATCATGAGGAGCTGCAGCTGCACGAAGTCATGCAGAGTCAATCCATTCAGCAGACAAACACAAAGAGGCACTAATAGTTCTAAACGAAACTTGTTTATTACTAAAAACCAGCAGTAAATAGTCGGACAGAGACTGCCGTCATCAGTGACCAGACGAGATCATTAGTGTGATAAAAGCTGTATCAAAGATGCTTTCTTTGTCAATGTATTGAAGTTTATTTGTTATTGTACCTATTCTTGTTTATTTTTCTAATATGCTTTAATTTCATTTGTTAGTCCTGTCTTTTTTTCCTTCATTAGCTACCCATTGGTCTGTATACGCCCTTTGTTAATTAGCTAATCACTGCAGCCATGTACTAATGGGTCCTGATTTAATGCCTGCTGATGCACAACAGACAGAGACTCTGAGTCTGCCTCATGTTTGTATGGTGTGTGCGTGTATACATGAGCAATGTAAGCTTGGTTTCTTTGTTTATATTGTGTGTCTTTGACATTGTAATTGGTATGGTTCATTTGATTGAATCTGTTGTATTTTTGTTCTTGTTTTAGAGACCACACACATACCCTGATCATGTGCTCTGCCTTTAATGGATAAATAGACAAATAAAGTGGTCATATGGCATCGTATCACTGGACTCTGTGTTCTTGCAGACACTCCTGCTGGACTCAAGACAGACATTCCCTAAATCCTAGTACCTAAACTCCTTTACAAAAGCTTCTCTACAAATACATACTGTATTTGAGCATCACAGCAATAGAAAACCATAGTTTAACCATGGAATTTGTAGTAAAAATAAATGCGAATGTTAATCCATTTGCTAAAAAAAAGCATGGTTACTGTACTTTTACTATAATAAAAGCATGGTTAATTTTTGTAATGGAAAAACATGACTCGTGTTCAGTATTAGGATTTTTCTATAAAGATATTGTAGTGATGCACTAATTTTGACTTGTAGGCAATTTATAAAGTATAGTTTTGTTACATCTTGAGTAATAAAGTCATGAGAGAGATAGATATCAGGCAAAATAAAGAGACTGAAAATAAAACTGGAAGTGAAGGTGCAGTTCAGGAGAGAACTTTTAATTATTTTGCATGTCCCCAACCTAAGGAATTAAACCTTTTTTTATGTGAGGTCCATTAAAAAAATAGGGTTGTCCAGAATGTGTTGTGGGTGTATGAGTGTGAGATTTCCCGGTCTGAATTATTTCTCCAGTCTGGCCCTCGTGGAAATTAATGGCGCAGACATGCGGTTTCATTTAGTACACATAGGCCTACT